CCCCAAAACCCCAAAACCCCGTTATCTAATTATTTTTGAAGATCAATGATTTTAAAGAAAATCGAATTAAATCATTATTACAATAAATTAGGTTTGAACTTAACTGGCTTTCTTGGATTCTTCGCGTTCTGATCCTCTTTCTTCTTGAAATGTTCCTCTATTAGCTTAACATTGAAATTTGTAATCACATATTACCCTTTCCAATATCTTACTAGATTTAAACTGCTCAAAGTTTAAATTATATCCTCCACTTTGATATAAGTGAATTCACTTAACTCTTTTATCGAAATACTACCTTTGACTTAAAGTAATGCCTCTAATAATGTATCTGTCCAAAAGCTTTTATAACTGACTTTTCCCATATCAGATAAAGGTCTTTCTGCAGTACATATCCTTCCTTCATTCATTGAGAGTTGGTAACTCAAACCAATCAAAAACTTACCATATCCTCGACGCTAGTAAGGAGGTAATACCATTATACACGCTAAGTTATAGTCATTACTCATTGTCTTTTCTTTCGAAAAATACCCAACAATGTGAGACTCTTCCTTTGTATCCTCAGTCATTACATAAAACAAGAAAGGTGAAACATCAAAGTATAAAGTCTTGTGATCAAGGAACAGTTTTGCCAATAGACATAGATTTTAGCAATATAACTTGCTTTCAACACCATCTACTTGATATATAGAAATCGAAGTCAAATTTTATTTGTCATCAGCTGATGATTTCTTCTCCTATTTCTGAAATAGCTCCTTAACCTTTTTATCTTGGTATATTAATTTGCCTTAAGGAGATTTGAATTAACACTTAGTCTTGTGCTATATTATTGTCTTCTGCTTCCTCATATACTTTAGGCAGAATTCACAAATGTAAAGAATGCTTTGGTTTCCATATTCTTCAGGGTAAGGACTAAAGTACCAAGTATTTATCTCATAGTCTCCAAAAAATATTTTCTCAATATTCCTGACTTTAGTAGTCTCCTAATGCTTTTTCTCAAGTTCTTTGATTTCAGGGTTTGAATCATAAAATTCTTAATTGGTTGGGTTAATCTCATCCTGTTTTCTCTAAGCATGTCTGGTTACTCTTTTCAGACCAGACTAGTTATAAGATTAAGATTCATTTCTATTAAGACTCATTGATGATTATTGAAGTTAAGACAAATTCATAGGATCTTAATTATTGAAATCTAGAGGATCCTTCACTTCATTATCAAAGACCCATCTATCAAGTCGTTTATCGCATGATTCAAAATGGATATAGTATTTGTAAATCTACTGATTTTAAGGCTAATCGATTGATTTCTGCGACTATTCCACTGTTTTCTTATCTATTATTTCAGCCATTTCTAATTGCAAAAATTAAATTAACAATCAATTCTTACAATACTAATTTGAAAGCTCTGCGAGAATCTTTTCTCCTACATTCCATACATGCTTCTGAGTTAACTACTACAGATCAATACCCTAAAAGATCTTAGAATTGCTTGTTTCTGGCTATTCTTCAATACTCTTAAGCTCTTCTTGTTGATTCTACTATTATTACTAATACTACTACTTTTCAGAATTAATCATTACTAGTTTATTTATTAATATATCTGAAACATTCCTTAATTTAAGTTGCCATAAAATTAATTCAAATCAACAAGCATGGGGTTTTGGGGTTTTGGGGAA